AGAAAAGAAAAGAAAAGAAAAGAAAAGAAAAGAAAAGAAAAGAAAAGAAAAGAAAAGAAAAGAAAAGAAAAGAGCAAATAAATCAGGGAAGGGTTCCCAAGCCCTAGTATGGATAAGCCTGGCCTGGTCTGGAGAAGCCAAAGCAAGTGAGTTAGAAACAAAGACTATCCTTGTCCCACAAGTAATCCCAGGAGCCAGGACAGCAGCTTGCCAAAGCAATTCCTTCCTGCACAAAGATGCACTAAGACCCCAAACCAGGCTAGCAAGCACACGTTTGTATTCTAACACTCACGGTGACTGCGTCTTTTCCAGACTGGCTGGGTGGGATCTGATCTCACAGTCATTCCCAATTGGCTAGTTTTAAAAGACTCATGCAAAGACAATGAAGGAAAGGGAGGAGTCTGCTATTCCACTGGGGGGGGGGTGTATACATAAATATGAGGAAAATAAAAGTTCTGCATAAAAGTTTTACAAGGTGGGGAGAGAGATCAGAGGTGAGGGAGATGTACGGAACGTGGGCCCTCGCTAGACTGTCGACCTTTGATAGAAAAATGACATTCTGCCCTCACAAATAGCAGGAAACCCCAGACAAAGAAAGCCCCATGACCCTTTCTTAAGAACTTGTCAGGCAATCTGGTAACATACAGGACCAGTAACATAGGGAACCTCGGAGTCAGCTCAAGACACCCCAAGACCAAGTTCTCAGCACAAAGGGGATTTATTTACCCCAGAGGGGGACAGAGGGCAGGGACTAAGAGACAGAGACAGAAGATAGAGGGAACCAGGGGCAAAGGGGAGGGATGAGGGGCATTTGTCCTGGAGGACAAAGGACTGCCTCTGGATAGAGGAGACAGACACACGGCACATAGGAAAACGGCCGTTTATAAAGGTAAAATGGGAACCCCCAGTTAGGATGAGGTGTTTAATTTTAATTGGGCATGTAGTTAAGTAAACCAAAAGGGACTTCTGATTGCTGGACTTGAATACTTTGATAGCTGGACCTTGGTAGTCAGTCTCAGGAGGAGGAAGTGTCCAAATAAGGGGCTAGACCTTGGTGGCTAGCTTTAGAAATGTAATCTAATGGTTTTCGGCAAGGCAGAGGGAGTGGGGGAGAAGGGCAAGGCCTGCCAGAGCCACATTCTCGAGTGAGCTAACATCCCTTCAGTAATGATCTCACGTGGTGGTCTTTACAAACACAAAGATACTCTTACTTTGTATTTTCTAATAGGAAGAGGATAATAGAATGCCAGTACAGAACAAAGTCTATCTAGCAATCGCCAGAAAGTTAACAGAAAACAATCACTAACATTTTAAGCACAATGTGTCAAATTCTAAAACATTACCTACGGAGCACAAGAGTCAACCAGCAAATACTGGCAGAAGTTTCTCTAAAGTTTTGTATTTGTTACAGCCTTTAATACCCCCACCCCAACTTAAAAAATCTTTACAGGAAGCAGAGTATAATGGTACATGCCTAAAGTCCAGTACTCAGGACACAGAAACAAAAAGATCTGAGTTCAAAGCCAGCCAGGACCACAGAGTGAGAGCCTGTCTTTAAAAATCAAAACAAAACAAAAAACAGTAGTTTTCATCTTTCCTGATGCTACGGCCTTTCCTCACGTTGTAGTGACCCCTAGCCATAAAATTATTTTGTTACTACTTCATAACTGTAATTTTGCTGCTGTTATGAACTGTAATGTAAATATATGATATGCAACTCCTCTTGGGGTTGCAATCCACACGTTGAGAACCACTGCTTTAAAGGAAAGTACTGTTCAAAGCTCTCTGACACTCTTACCAAACAGCATACCATCCTGCAAAAAGCCGAGTAGTTAAGCAACATTTTAGTGGTTTCACCCTAGCCCCAAACCAAAAGATAAACACGTCAGGCCAGCATTATTACTAGAAAAAAAGACATTGAGTCATGAACTATTTAAACTAGAATTATATTTTATTTTACTTTATTTTATTTATTTATTTATTTGGCTTTTTTGAGACTGGGTTTCTCTGTGTAGCTTTGGAGCCTGTCCTGGATCTTGCTCTGTAGACCAGGCTAACCTCGAAGAAGAGTCACAGAGATCCACCTGTCTCTGCCTCCCGGGTGCTGGGATCAAAGGCGTGTGCCACCGCCACCCAGTCCTAAACTAGAATTATAAAAAGAAAGGGAAGAGAACACCAAGGGAACAAGGACCTTCCAGCAACACCAGAGGACTAGAGACAGCTCACACATCTAAACTCCCAACTCAGGACCCCACTGCTCTTCAAAAGCAGAAAACAGATTATTTGCAATTAGCAATGTTTTGAAAAACAAAGCAAAAATCATCACAGAAAAATGTGCACACTGCAGATTTTTCTCGGGATATTTGTTTTTATATAGACATGCATGCAATTATAAGTCTATGAAATCTGAAAATCAAGATTTCTTGCTGGGTTGCAGTTTTAAAAACTATTTTTTTTAAAAAAAATAGAGCATTTCAAACTGCCTTTCATGAAGTATTTCCATGTATTTTTATGAAAACACTGTAATAGCAACATTAAAAACATTAACAGATGGCTAATCCTACCTTAAAATCTCTCATTCAAATCCCATTTTACCTTGCTTCAGGGCTCCGTTTTGTGCTGTTATGAATATTATCTAACAGCAGCAGCAGCAGCCCTTACTCAGCCTAGGGTACTCTAAGAACCACCCCTGTCTATTAGTCTCCAAAAGACTTTGCAGCCACAGAGGTATGTGTGTATTATAAAAGAGACATGGTATGCTCACCAGCTCGCAAAGGTGAACATAGCGCTGTCCAAGACAACAATATACAACTAAGTCCTGGTCTACACACACACACACACACACACACACACACACACCCCAGATTTGGCCCTGGAATGGAATTTCTGGGGAAAAAGGTCCATTCCTAAAATATTTTCCCTACATAATACTGCCTGAAGGTACTATCTGGTGGGAAAAAAAAAATCAACATAGGTGACAGCTACCTACTCTATAATTAGGTCTAAACTTGAAGGTGCCTTAGGCCTGGGAGTTATGTAGCTACTGGGTTCAATCCACACTGCCAAGAAATAAAGATAAAAAATAAATACATAAAATGTACTGCCTTGAAGAAAGCTACACAGAGTTCCTGCTAAGGTAACACACAGAAATTTTATCATTTTTAGATGGCATTTTTGGGAAAGGAAAAGACAGAAGCAGCAAAGATTACAAAAATAGGCCGGGTGGTGGTGGTGCACACCTTGGATCCCAGCACTCTGGGAGGCAGAGCCAGGCAGATCTCTGTGAGTTCGAGGCCAGCCTGGTCTACAGAGTGAGATCCAGGACAGCCAGGGCTACACAGAGGAAACCCTTTCTCAAAAAAAAAAAAAGATTTTTTTTAAAAGAGCAATAAAATACCTTAAAGTACCCGCATAGAGACACAGCCTTTAATTCTAGTACTCAGGAGCCAGAGACAAGCGGCTCTCTGTGAGTTGGAGACCAGTTTGGTCTACACAGCGAATTCCAGCCCAGCCAGAGATTACATGGTGAGACCCTGTCTCATAAATAAATAAATAAACCCAAAAAGGGGTGGGGGTAAACAAGGCAGAGATAAAAACCAGGGAGCACTATAGTAAAAAGAGCACTTCATCACTGTGCTCTAGTGAGTGCTTAATCTAAAATATATGGTGCACCCCCAGACACGTCAGTCACAGTCTGACCTGCTCACAGCCTTAGCCAAGCATAACTTGTATCACGTGGCCCACACCCCTTTCCACAGCGAGCTGTGGGCATGGGCACCCCTGCCAGAGGCCTTCTACGAAAAGAGGCCCGAGAGAAAACAAGAGCCGAAGTAAGTGAATTCATGACGAGCAAAAAATGAAAACGGGTTAGAAAAGTGAGAATAAAAGTCACACGCGAGAGCACATACCTAGGGCCACCAGCAAAGGACAGACAATGAAATGTCAGCACAGAAAGAACGGGATGCGGTCGGTAGGGATGGCGATTCCTGCCGTTTCCCAGCTCTTTCATAATCCCTTCTTATCAGGGTGGACTCGGAGAACTACGTAACCTGGAGTGCGGGGAACAAGGACACAACTGAGTAAGGGAGTTTCTATCTTCTTCCCCCACACTAAAATGGACGTTTCAAAATCCTTAGCACTGCAAGTCTGAGACAGAAGCTTCCCCGGGATCGATCAATTCACTGTTTTAGACACAAGCAAAGGAAATCTGCAGGGAAAGCAAAGCTAAGGTCATACAGACAGTGGCAGAGCAGGACAAGAACCAAGGTCTCCCTCTTCTGTGGTCATCACTGTCTCCTCTAGACACTCAGTAACACCACTAGGAACATTGTCTTCAAAATGAATGTTTTGCCACACATTTTAAGGCAAATCAGAAATATTTGCATGCCTTCTTCCCCAATTCCCGGTCATTAACTATGTTACTCTTCTAACAATCATTGGAATTCTTCCTTTTTCCTAAAGACGTTTACACAGGCAATTCATCAGGCCCACCAGCTCCACTGCCCCATTACAACTGCCCATCCAAAACAATGCTCAATTATTTCACAAACTGCACAAGAGTGTCTCCACTCAAAACAGTACATACAGAGCAAACGTCTTAAATGAATAGGATATTCAGTTACAGATTTGGAAAGATTTCCATGAAAAACACATCACCAATGTCAATAAAATTGAGAAAGCAGAGCAAAAACAACCGCCATCAGCAGGGCTAACGTGGACCACTGAAGTGGCTGCCCATCAGATTTACTGCGCTCAATGTGTCTCGAGAACAAAAACTGCAACTTGGAAACAGAAATCCTAAGCGAGGTGAAGACTGTGAACCAGTGAGACAGTACAGAAAGTTGACAGGGGAAAGCTGCAAAGGTCTTGGGTGCTGACAAAGCCTTTAATCTCCTCTTAAGGGTTCCCCACAGGACAGGCTGGAGAGGTGGGGGAGGTGAGTGAGTCCTTGTACAGTACCTCCAGAGCTGATCCTCAGGAAAGCAGAGTCATCAATTTCCTTAGAACATTCTCAGCCATCTTAAAAGGACGGAAATTAAGAAGCCAGCATATTTTAAGGCAGTGGCGCTCAACCTTCCTAATGCTGTGACCCCTTAATACAGTTCCTCATGGTGTGGTGACCCCCAACCATAAAATTATTTTTGTTGCTACTTCATAACTGTTATTTTGCTACTGTTATGAATCGTAATGTACATATCTGATATGCAGATGGTCCTGGACAACCCCTGTGAATTGGTCCTTCGACACCCAGGTTGAGAACCGCTGTCTTAAGGACTTCTTTGCATGTGAGATGAGTAAAACCTAAAGTCAACACACAACTTAATAATGAGTGAACGAAAGAGCACACACAAGTGCACACACCACTTCGTATCACATCCAAAACATCTTTTCGTTAAATGAAGAGCTCATGGTGTAATAGTTTATTATTCATAAATCTAACAACTTAAAACTATGTGCGATCTCCATCTGCTGGGTGAAACATATCGGGCTTGGAGCCTTTGATTAGCCTGATGGAAGCAGCACCCGGAGTTCGAATCCTGGCATCCTGGCCACTCAACCTTCACCGCCGCCCGCACCAGACAGCAAATGAAGTTCCTCCCCCACCAGCCTCCCAGGAGAAGAGTTTGGCAGGTTTAAAGGCCATTTCATGATCCTTCTCTCAACGGGAGAACTGAGCTGTCAAGGACGGAGCGCGAGTGAGCGCGGCCGCGGCGACTGCACATCCCCGCAGAGAGCCGCCAAGCCGGCCCGGGAGTCTCGGCTGTCACGGCGGCAAAGCCCGGGCCGCGAGGACACCGCCTCCCGCCTCCCCTCCGCGTTACCTGGCCCGCGGGCTTCCCGTCAATCACGCGGGCCACCGCCGCGGAGCTCGCGAGCTGGAGCTGCAGCCACAGCCCGCGGCGGACGTCAGCGGCGCCGCAACAGCCTCCGGGCCGGGATGGATGTAGGACGGAGAGCGCTGGGCGCCCGGAGACTCTGCTCCCCGTTTCCGCTCCGCCTCCCGGCCGCCCTTCCCCCACTCTGCGGCCAGGGCCCGCTGCGCGCGGCATTGTGGGAGATGTAGTCGGGGCTTGCGGAGAGGCGGCACGTGCTCTTAGCCCAGGGGCTCCCGGTGACGCCGTTGCTTGGCAACCAAGAGGCGCGGCAGCTGCAACACTACTAGAAGAAATGCCGCATCCTGATGGTGAACTGAAGTCTCCGCGTCCTACTACCGACCTTCCATCAGAAAACCAACCCTCCAGATGCTGTTAGCTGACGCTGGGCATCCTACTGTTGCAGAATGCAAGTGTGCCCATGGTTGTTCCTGAAGATCCTCACATAGTGCAGAAGGGCATGGAAAATAAAAGGACTAAAGATTAATAGAAACAAAGTATCCTTCTCTGGTGACTGAGGGCCTGGCTCAGCAGTTCAGACAATTTGCTGAGGACCATAATGCCGGAGTTCGATTCCCAGCTCCCACATCAAGAGGTTCATAACCTCCCGGAACTCCAATTCCAGGGGATCCCATCTTCTGGCCTCTGCAGACCAGCACACTCACATACAATTTAATAAATATAAAAGGTATTTTAAAGATATTCTTTTCACATATGGTATAATTATGTATGCACACAGAAAATACAAGACAATTTGTAGACAAATTATTACAATTAAGAAGAGTTCAACAGCTGGGTGGTGGTGACACATGCCTTTAATCCCAGCACTTGGGAGGCAGAGGCAAGCGGATCTCTGTGAGTTTGAGGCCAGCCTGGGCTACAGAGTGAGTTCTGGGAAAGGCTCCAAAGCTACATAGAGAAAACTTGTCTCAAAAAAGCCAAAAAGAAGGAGGAGGAGGAGGAGGAGGAGGAGGAGGAGGAGAGTTCAACAAAGTTAATACAGTAATAAAAAATAATCAAGGACTTTCAGGTGCTCAGTGGTAGAACACTTGCCTAGCAAGCATACGGCCCTAGATTAAATGCCCAGTGATAGAAATTCCCACCACGCACCCACTGTGGGGCATGGTCACAAATGCCCGGCAGGACACTTAGTCATCTCCACCTAGTCATTTCCAGAGTCCTGCGTGACCCATGCCCCATGGTTACACGGTCACGTAGTCGCGCAGATGTGACCACATGATCTCTGCGCGTGTGCCTCTCTCTCTCTCTCTCTCTCTCTCTCTCTCTCTCTCTCTCTCTCTCGTCGTTCCACAGGCCTGGTCACATCTATCCCTTTCTCTTTGTCTTGATAAAACTCGTTAGTGGATTCTGTCATGTGTCATGACTTTTCCTTTGGAGCAAGAGCGCCGCAAAAAAACAACACCCAGCACACATAAAAATTACACATTAAAAAGTCAAATATTGAGCTGGAAAGATGTCTTAGTGGTTAAGAGCACTTGTTCTTGCAAAGCACTCAGGTTCAGTTCCCAGTGTCCACATGGCGGCTCACGGTCATCTGTACCCCCAGTTCCAGACAGTCCCTCTTCTGGCCTCACCAGGAGTGCAGGTGGCACACTGATGTACAGGCAGGCAAACACACCCACACCCATAAAATCTCTCTCTCTCTCTCTCTCTCTCTCTCTCTCTCTCTCTCTCTCTCTCTCTCTCACAGACACACACAGACACACATACACACACCATACACATGCAGTAATAAATAAAAGAAATCTATATTTTTCAAAGTTTTTTTTTTAAACAAAAAACACACACACACACACACATACACACACCATACACATGCAGTAATAAATAAAACAAATCTAAATTTTTCAAAGTTTTTTTTTTAAACAAAAACTCAGGAACTGGTAACTGTAAAGGGTGACTAATGCTGCCTGCAGAGTCTATACAGGGGAGTTAAGGTTGGAAACACCATCTATCTCTCGGCATGGATAGTGTAGGCTTTATAATCTGCCAATTATATATTCATTGCTTATGCATTTTTCCACATAGATGCTGTGCTTACCAAGTTGAAAATCAAAGTTCATGGATCTACAATCAGAGAACCTTCATTGAATTGTAGGTCCTACAACGGTATGACTTTAGGCAAATGCCACAACAGTACAAGCCTCGGCTTCCCCATCAGTCATAAAAGTAAATCACAAGGATATTGTGAATTAACTTGAGAGCATGAGCTGATATGTATGAAGCGTTTTCACAGCACTCTGGGTACAGCAAGCCCTTGGGAATGTTCTCTCCTTGGCCTCCCTTCCCCACTAAAGCATTAGAGACACTGTCGTAAGTAAAGCCTGCGAGGGCTCCTTGCTGCAGAAAGACTGGATGTGACGGTAAATGGGGAAATGGTCTCCGCGGCTGTCTGTGTGGAAACAGCCAGCCTGGTAGGCAGGCATACAGGGAAAGAACATCATCATCCATGTGTGCAAAATGGAATGACCTGGATGTAGATTTTCTGTGCTCTCTAATGCTGCTAGCCATGTGTGACCCTTGAAGACTTGCAAGGTAGGTAGTTAGTCTAAATCAGGATGTGCTGTAACAGCAAGCTACCAAATACTAATGATTGGCTACATAAGAAACAATGTAGACTACCACTTGGGGTTTTAAACTTTTTACTATAAATGTTAAATATTATATATATATATATATAATGTAAATGTATTGATAGGATTTTGTTTGTTTGTTTTTCAAGATAGGATTTTTCTGTGTAGCCCTGGATGTTCTGGAACTCACTCTGTAGACCAGGCTGGCCTCGACTCAGAGATTTGCCTGCCTCTGCCTTCTGAGTGCTGGGAGGATTAAAGAAATGTACCACCACCACTAGGCTAATTTATGTTTGTTTGTTTTTTTTTATGTTCACCATGCAATAAACTTTTATCTACTTTTTTTTTTTTTGAGACAGGATTTCTCTGTGTAGTTTTAGTGCCTGTCCTGGATCTTGCTCTGTAGACCAGGCCGGCCTCGAACTCAGAGATCTGCCTGGCTCTGCCTCCCGGGTGCTGGGATTAAAGGCAAGCGCCACCACCACCCGGCTTTTATCTACATTTTTAACAGAGGTTCAGCTATTACTGAAATTCATCATCTCCAAAGTTAAGTCAGGGCAAATGGCTACAGCACAGAGTCAAGCCATCGGGGCCCACAGGGAATGCAGACTCATGAATTAATAATCACCCTTCAGGTGGAGGATGAGTTAGAGTCAGCTTTCTAGACTTTGGAGCCGGAAAGCGCGTAGCCATCTTCCAGTTGCTTGCCTGTAGACATGAGCCTCTGCTGGTCCAGGAGGATGCTTTCCTTATCCCAGCTCTTGGATCTTGGTCTTCTCGTTGTTTTTAAGATTCTCCCTCTATAGCACTGGCTGCATGGAACCCATAGAGACTCCTGAGAGCTGCAATTGAAGGCGCATGCCACCACACCCAACTGGCCATCACACTAGCCGTGAGAGCGTCAAGGACTGCCTCCGAGATGATGATGGTCCTACCAGACAGACAGGCTCTTCACAGAGAGTTGTGTTTTCACCTTTTCACAGATGGGATGAAACCACAAATCACCAATCACATCGAGACACCAGCAGCAAAGCACCTGACAAAGCCACTCACTATTGTGATTTACCAGCTTTATTTCCCAAGGTTTTTAAATATAACTGCAGCTAAATGGCATATACCTATAATCCCAGCATTTGGAAGTTCAATGTCATTCTCAGCTGTATATTGAGTTCAAAGCAATCCTAGGTTGCTGTGGATATCACTCTATATAAATAAAACACTGAT